CTCAGTTCGATGCCAGGTGATTGATTTATCAACGAGTTTTGTGAACTGCATTTCTTGTTGCTCAGCAACGCTGTCGAAAATGTTCCTGGGAATGAGGTGAGGGAATTTCGCCGGTTCTGCATAAACAGGACGAAAGAGAGGCAACAAAACTGAGTGCTAAGTAGTAGTAATTCTCAAAATTGTCTGCTGAAAGAAAGCTCCGTAGGCATTTTGCACGTATCTGGTAACTTTGCAGGAACGATTCGTGGTGATTTCTCAATACAAATGGGACGAAATATAGTGCACGGCTCGGATTCAGTACCGTCCGCAGAGCGTGAGATTGCGCATTGGTTCAAGCCGGATGAGCTGTGCGAGTGGTCTCCGGTAGCAGCACCTTGGGTATACGAGCAGCACTGCGGCCCTTAGGCCAACTTTAGTTCTAGTGATGACAGTTCATATGTTGTTCAGTTTTGTCATAAAGCAATAAAAGTAGCTAGTGTTCCTCTAACTTCCGGGACTGGGGCCTTTCCTGGATCGAAAATCCACGACGAAGTTCAGGCTCTCTTGAAGATTTGCACTCGATCGATAAAAAAGTGGTCTTCTTACAGCCCTAAGTCATCCTAAAATCAATAATTGTAGCTCTATTGCGTGTTTGGGCTCAGCAATTTTTTAACTAGAACAACAGGGGAATGCATTTTTTGACTGAGATTTTGATCCTAAAAATCTTATAAGTTTTGAGTTGAAAGGGATAATTTTTCTAAAAAAGGAAGAAACAAAAACAGCTATATATGTCAATCTTTCTGTATGGGAGGGATGCTGTTGAGCTGTTCGACATAAAAATTTGAGTGAACATGAGTGGGTCTTGCGTTGTTAACTCTTGCAAAACCAATAAAAGGATTTAATGCGAATAATCTGTTTCAAAAAATACGCGTCAAAAAAAAAACAATTATTTTCTAGAAATTCCACACTTATTTTGTCCACTTTGTAATAAAGTTGTTGGTCTCAAGAGAAATAAATCAACTGAACATCACAATGATTCTGTGTGGGCATTGCTGGCCTCAGTGGCTGTAGCGTTTCAGTACTTCGACGGGACAATGTTGTCAACGTCGCGGACAATGTGATCCATCAGCACCTGTCCCCAGAGACAGTCACGGTCCAACGGCCGACCGTCTTTGTCTTCGAAAAACTCTTCGTCGAGCACTCGATGACATCGCGCACACTTGAAGCAGTTCCGATGATACAGTCGACCAACTGCAGTTCACTGAATTATAGCGTGACGCTAGCGCTTTTGCATTCCCAGCTTTTTCTGAGAATCAAGTATCATGCTGAGCATAAAAAAAACTTACGCATGCGCCCTCTGTCATAAACCCTACTTTCGTTTCCAGTCCTTATCTCCAAGCACTGCCGGATCCTGGACTTTTTTGACACGAGCAAAAACTTAAAACTGCCGTCCTCTCTCTCTTACTAATCCGCACCAATAAGAGCTGGGATTACCAAGTTTGCCGAGGAAGATGGATGTAAAGCTGTGGAAATGCGACAGAGAAGTCAGTGAGGGCTAAAACCCTGGCCACCCGTACAAATGTGAACCTTAGGGTTGGGATGAAACACGGATAAACTATTTCTGAATTTAACATATTACCACTTGACGGGTTCACGCTGAATTCCTTTTTTCTGTATTTTTCCTTCATGAAGCGGGCAAAATTTCTAGCAAACTTCAAAAATGAGTTCAAATCTGCTAATTTCTCATCAAAACGTCCAAATACGCAAAGCAAACCGGATGCATTTTAAAAAGCGACGAGGGAAAAGCTGTACATTTTTGCAACCGAAACTAAAGATAGTTCTGAAATCTTAGTCGTTTCTGAAGTTGCTTTAATAGCCCAAATTCGAGGGCAGGCGAAGGTATCAGGGTTGGAATCTGCGTCGAAAATGATCAAATCTGTTATCCAGTTAAATGATCAGAAAATGATCAAAAAATGATCAGATCTGTTAAATAATCTTAAGAAAGATGGTGGTACCGTGCAGTGCGTATTCGTCGACGATTGAATGCTTGCACTTGTGACATTTGGGACTGATTTTATCGAAGCATCGAAGGCAGGCGAGTTTCGTGCCGTCCACCACGAAACTGTCGTCGATGTAGCACACACGTGTGGTGCAATAGTCACAGCACAGGTGGTGCACGTGGTAGAGTCGCCCGCGAGCCAGGATCGCCTCTTCGTTCACCAGTGGCTCGCCACATTTCGCGCAACGGCCACGCCGCAGCATGCTTGATGCAAGCAATAGCATTCTTCTTTAAAAGCTCCATTTTATATCGAAAAATCTTCCACTTTATTCTAAGTGGATGGGGAGCCTCACAGCGGTCGCATTCAGACAATCTCCGTTTGAAGCTTGGCAAAAAACTTTAAGGCGACTGGATTTGGATAATCCTTGCAGATAGCTGCTGTGTAGTGTTCGTTGTACAAATTACCGTACTGATTTAAATGCATCACATCGGGAACGCAGCCCTGTAGCAATTTTGCCATTCGTTTCAGTCCGAAAGAAGTACACCCAGCATCTGCAAAGAACCGAAACTATTCCACTGCACGAAAAGTGCGATAAGGAAGATCTGAAGAACTACCGTCCGATCTGCATGTTCTCTCGCTCTCTGTCACATTTTATAAGTTTCTCACTCTAAGGCAACTTATAATGCGCATTTGACAAGCACCACTGCTACGTGCAGATGAGGCATGCACGTGAGAAAATCGAAACATTTGCTCGGCCAGGCCTGCTCAATGTTGACTGGTCCTGCTCATTTGCATTGCGTTCTAGTGTTGGCAGCCTGTTGCTGACAACGACGCAAGTTCCAGGCAGCCGACGAAGTGGCGCGTTCTTTTTGCTGTTTGGGGACTTGATTTTGAGGAGGTGCAGGGAGAGAGGGGTGGGGGTGGCTGCGTGGTGAGGCATAGCTGCTATGGGTGGATCTGGCTGGAGATAAGCGCTCATCGAGAGGTCGCGGGAATTATGCGCGACAAAGGCAAGGCGCATATTTCCCTATAACATGGGTGAGGACTTGAACTCAGTACTTTTTGCCTTACTAAAGAATGCTGGCGATTCAGGGC